TTCCTTCCTTCCTTCCTTCCTTCCTTCCTTCCTTCCTTCCTTCCTTCCTTCCTTCCTCCCTCTCTTCCTTCCTTCCTTCCCTCCCTCCCTCCCTCCTTCCCTCCCTCCCTCCATCATACGAGAACAAATTATGCATTGTAAAGATCATTTGTAGGTGGGAGATACTTCCAATGTAATCTACCTGATCCCCTGTATGGATTCCCTCTGTGATTATGAAGGACAGACAGGGAAGAAACTAAACACCAGATTGCAAGAACACAAAGCAAGTGGTCAGACAAGGAGACCAGAACTCATTGGTAGCCTTACACACTGTAATGAACAAGGACACATATTCCATTTTGCAGTTACCAAGATTGTTGGACTAGCAGGCACAAAAACAGCCAGGGAAGTGATTGAAGCCTGGGAAACAGGCCCCTTATCAATCAACAGGAATGCTGATTTTAGTGCCAGCCTATCAAGTACTTAGAAGATGAGGGCTGGGCAGCATAAGCAAACAACAGCTCATGACTTAAAAGCCAGCCATCAACATACCCCAATCAACATCTAAAAAGCCATTTACAACAGACACTATAAATGCCACACACTCTGCTAGAGAGAAGTTCCCTGAAGATGGGCTCCAGCACGAGTCCAAAAGCTCAGAAGACTAAACCTCTGATCCCAGTGACCGACCCAGATTGGATCCTGCAACATTATCCTGGGACACGTATATCCACCTTCATTTGTAATAAACAAGTTAACTACATTTATTTAATGTAATTTTAATTATATTTAAAATAATTTTATTAAATTTCTCTTTCACCTGGTTCTTGGAAGTGACCCACAAAGGATTGAAGAAATGTGATGTGGCCCAGCCCTATAACATCTATAAAATCAATTTTAATAATCTGTTTTCTAGTCACTACCTAAATAATGAGGACGAGAAACTGTAAAACTTTTAATTACCACGATTGTATTCTTCTATTCTACACTTTGATTCTGGATTCTATGATTAATGCTAGACTAATAAAAAAAAAATACAACCAACCAACCAACTTTTCTCCCTTCCCCAATCCTTTCATCTTGTAGGAAATGCGCTCTTGATGTTTCTTCATAAAGTCTACCTACCAAAGGTGACCTCTAAAAAGATCTGAGTGGCACCAGTCATTTAAGTTGATCTTCAGACACATAGAATGCATACCTAATAAAGGTCGCTCACGTCCCCCCTGGCATCACTTTTCAAATTCTGTGTACCATCCAGTTCCTTGCCTTCTAAAATAATCTCAAGGAATAAAGGCAAACTTTGTTTTGTCAGAATGCTGAATCCAGAGACTCAGAGCAATAAGAACAGTTGAAAATCCCTGAAGTTTCACTCAAAACTTTACTATTATCCAGCTCAAACTGCAAATCCCTGAAAAGCCATCCACGTTACATAAGATATAATAAATGCACCATTAAAAAAAAAACTTGTTAAAATTCACGGTATTCGGTCCATTTATATAACCAGAGTGTATTCTATTTTATAGGGTAATAATAAAGACAGATACATTTTGTATGAATTAACATTAACCAAACCCTATTTTTTCTTATGAGAAGGTCAGTATTTTACATTGAAAAAATCCTACGGATATCAGTTATACAGTATGCTATTTCTGGAAGGGTCACAATTTTGGCAACAAATATAATAAAACATCTTAGCTCAAAGGTAGGCAACTAATAGTTCTCCATATGCTGCTCCCATCAGCTGTAACTTATATCTTTCTGGAGGCAGTAAATTCTTCGTTCGTATCTTAAAGGCTAATACGTTATAAACATTGTTCTGTCGCCAGTAAAGAGACTTGCAGACCGGAGTTGAATTCAGCTCTTTAATAATAACAGTAACTTCAACTGCAGTCGAACCGCAGCAGCCCTTTTTATAGCGGCTGCTCCATGGCTCGCAACCAATGACATTTAGTTAAACTTCCCGCCGCTATTGGCGGCCAATCAGGTACTAACGTTACTAACCAATCGTATCGTTGCTTCTGTTAACCAATAGGAACATCGCCCTAGAAGTCTCTATTTAAATACACTACAAACATTGTCCAACTAGAATTCATCAGTTACAGTCCAATTCTTAATTGGTGCATAGACTGTGGCATGGCAACAGAAATTAACTTGTGCTTCTTACATTCGTGGGAGGTTCACTTGGCCATGGATCTTAATGAGCAATAGTGGCTAACCTAGTTTACAGGATTGATATGAGGACAAGAAGAACCATTCGAGGTGTTGGTTGTCACCTTCAAAACCCTACATGGCTCAGGACCAGGTTATTTGAAGTCCAATTTTTCCCAGTCACCTCTACCTGACTCATCAGAGTGGGGATGCAGGAAATGCTATGGGTCGCTTCTCTTAAGCAGGCCCACCAGCAGTGGGATCCCTACTTGTTCCACTACCGGTTTGGTGATGATTGTGCACGCGCACGCACCTAATGCCCGTGTGCAGCTTTCCACACACCAGTGGAGGCCTGCAGCGCCAAATAGCTAAGAGGATAAAGAAAAGCACAGGGGTGGATGGGAGGGTCGATCTTGCACTTTTCTCTTCTTTCTCCTCAGCTGATCGTTGGAGGGTTTTTTCCTCCTCTCAGCTGATCGTCAGAGGCTTTTTTTTTTTACTACCTGTTCGGCTGAACCGGGCCAAATTGGTAGCATACCACCACTGAGGCCTACCTAGCGGGATCAAGAAGAAGGGCCTTCTCTGTGGTGGTTCCCGCCATACGGAATATCATCTCTATGGATATAAGGCTGGCCCCCACTTTGACATTCTTTTGCAAGGTCCTGAAAACCTGGTTTTGTGCCAAGGGGCCTGAGACCCCACAGTAGGATGGAGGCCATCAAATGTCTCATTTGACTGTTGTCACCAGGAGGGTGGGGGGTTATTGCTTTTTTATTGTTTTTATATTGGGTTTTTATTCTTCTTAGCCATCTGGAATCTCTCAGAGTGAATATATCGTGCCTCATGTACCTTGAGGAAAAGTGAAATTTAGCTGGTAATGAATAAATAAGAGCCTATATATGTGTCTGCCAAAATTAGTGAAGAAGTCTTGAAGAACTCAAGATGCTCTTTATGATTAAAAAAAAAAAAAAAAAAAAGCATATAGGGCCTCATAAGGTTGCTTAGAATTGAGGCTTTTTCAGAACTGCCAGTAGACATCTAGGTGCCATCTAGTAAATATCATATCAGGCTCTGAAAACAGCTATGAAAAGTAAGATCAAGGAGATGGTCAATCACTGTGGGGAGATCTCAAACGTGAAAGGCTAAGAAGTCTTCTGCACCATGGGAGGGGGATTCTAAAGCAAGAATGGAAAGACTTATAACAGGTGGTTAAGAAGCTATCATGGCCGTAAAAGAAAGTGTTAGAAGGCATTGACCAAAAAGAGGGCCCCAGGTTTTGCCATATTCATTGTTTTTTCTCTGTTTGCATTTGTGAACAATCATTTATAAATAGTAAGTAGAACCAAAATTGTCATGATTATATCATGTAGAACAGGGGTGTCAAACTCAAGGCCCACAGCTGGAAATATCAAAGGACCGGCCTGCAGTGCTCTGCATGGCCCATTTTTGGCTGGCAGAGTGCTGTTGGAGGCCAGGGAGCCTGAAAATGGGGCAGAGGGAGCAGTGCGTGACCCCTGCTATGCCTTTTGGCCAGCAGGGTGCTGCACGAGGCGTCCCGCAGAGAACTACAATGCTAATCCGGCTCTCAACAAAATCCATTTTGACACCCCTGATGTAGAAATTCTAAAAACAGTTATACCTTGATCGAAACATTTGCCTGCAAACAATTTTGTATATACACAATACAGAAAAACAGGGTTGGTTGGAAGGTACCTTGCAGATTCCCCAAGCAGTTCACCCTATAGTACCATTCCAGACAAATGGCTGTCTAGTCTCTTCTTATAGGAAGATGTTTCATGCCATGGGTCTTCCAGCTAATGTAGACATCCCAACTGTTATGCATATACAACTGGTCAGGACAAAAACATCCCACTCCCCATGCAAAATGTTAACAGGGAAGGTGAATCAGGTGAGGTCAGGACCAGAATTGGAAGAAATGCTCATCCTTTGTATATGTTTAGCGTATACATGAATGAACATTTAGGGGACCAATGGCCAAATGGTTTGTTTCAATTAATCTTTTAAGGCATCTATCTTTACGGAGTGAAAGCAAATACCTCAATCAGGTACAGTGGAGCCTCGGGTCGTGACCATAATCCGTTCCCGGACTCCGGTGGCGACCCGATTTGGTTGTGTCCTGAACCATGACCGACTGCAAATGCGTGAACTAAAAAAAATGGTGGCCCAAGGGGAAATCGGCGCAGAAAGGGAATCTTTTCATGACGATTTTGTTCGCCACCCAAATTCTGAATCGTGATCCGATTCAAAAATAGGGTAGATTTTTTGTTTTGCCACCTGATTTGGACCTTTCACGACCCAAGGTTCCACTGTATTTAACAAAGTTAAATATCCATCATGGAGGTTCCATACAAGAAAGCTGTGGGATTACTTTAAAGCCACTCCAAATTAAGTTGTAGGAGTGGCACATACGTAATTCAAATACTTAAAGCTAATTAACCTCTTTGATTCTTTAATACCAAACTAAAAATCCTGAGAATTCAAGCACATGCAGGGGGGTGGCTGTTGAAGACAAGAGGAAAAAATTGGCACTACCTTTTCTGCCAGCCAACCCAAGTGCCTAATTTCTCGGCCTCCGGCTAGTCCTGCTTTACCCAGCTGATCTTTGACCTCTGAGATCACTTTGGGAATGAGCTCGCTGATACAGGAGTGGATGGCATAGAACCAGGCCTGGGCGGTGCTCGCGTCTTTACTCCTTAGCACCAAGATGTGCTTGGCATCCGGTGAATGAACTTCAACAATCCTGTAGAAGAAAAATAAATAAATAAATATAGTGAATAGGAAAAAAGGAGAGAGTTACATGTATTCTCAAAGTTCCAGCCTGATTACCTGATCTGTAGGTGTAGAAGTGTGAAAAATCACCGTGCTAGGGATGGGCTACCTGTAGTCCATTGAGTCAAGACCAAACCAACATAGCTAAGCCAAATGGAGGTCCTGTTAGGTAGCAATAACACTAGTACTTAGACTTATATACCGCTTCATGGTGATGTACAGCCCTCTCTGAGCGGCTTAAAGAGTCAGTATATTGCTCCTAACAATAGAGGTCCTCGTTTTAGCAACCTTGGAAGGATGGAAGGCTGAGTCAACCTTGAGACCCATCAGGATCGAACTCCAGGCTGTCGGCAGAATTAGCCTGCAATACTGCACTTTAACCATTGCACCACCAGGGCTCCCTATAAGGTAGCTCCCCATCCTATAAGCTTGGCATTCCACCACAGCTCCATTTCACGTGTTCCTCATTATCAATCTTCAACATGGCACAGTGGGATATAGAAAAACACCCAGTCTGCCTGTAACCCATCTTTCCTTTGCTTCTGGAGATTCTCAGACCACCAGGTCACGGTTTCCCAAAGGTGCTTTTTTAAAAATGATTTAAAAATGACTTTGATTTGGTTTTTTTCCTTGAAGACATTTCTCTTCTCATCCAAGAAGCTTCTTCAGTTCTGGAACCGAAGAAATGGAGAAGCTTCTTGGATGAGAAGTGAAACATCTTCAAAGGAAAAAAACAAAAACAAAGTCCTTGGCCTTTTGAAGAAGACTCTTTGGGCCACATTTCCCTTCCATCACTTCCAAAAAGAGAGCTAAGGCCACTGTCTTCCCTACGCAGGAAAGGACAGCTTTGTCCAATGGCAGAAGACATTTACTAGAAGAAGATATATATATTTTTTGGAAGCCAAACATGAGTGAGGAATGACTGCTTGTTCTGTCCTTTCTCCACAGAGCGGTAGAATCAGGTGGCAGGGTCAAGTGTCATCACAGGATTAGGTCAGTGATGCTCAATCTTCTGATGCCACCCAGCCTGCCATATCAAATCCACAAATGGCCCTGCAATGTCACACCCATTCATCAAACTCAGCTTAAAGTATCTTAAAAAACTGAACAGTTCAGCAGAGGGAGAACTGTTGCCACAATGTTGAGTTTCTATTTACTGACAAAGAAATAAAGGGAGACTAGTATAGATTTCAAGCTAACCCCCCCCCCCCCGCTTTCTTTCTGTTGACAACTATAAAACGTGCATACAAATGTTTTATGAGTTGACATTCGGCTCCCCTCATTTCTTGAGCGTGACCTGTACAACACACCCAAAAACAAATTGATTGCAGATATGGAAGCTTATGCTCACGAACCCCTCCACCCCAGGCTTGGTTGGATTTTCTGCATGGAACCTTGCCACAAGGCGATCGGCTTGGACTTTCCTACTCTTTACCCATGATGCCTCTGATAAGGGGTAGCCCTTCCACTTGATTAAATATTGGAGTTGTCTCCTGTGCCACCTCGAATTGAGGATTCGCTGCACCTCATAACGGGCTTGACCTCCTATGACCATGGGACCTGGGGGCTCACAAGGTAAGGGCCTCAGCGTTGATCCAGCCACGGGTTTTAATAGGCTACTATGGAATACTGGATACATTTTCCCTAGCAATCGGGGCAACTTCAATTGCACCATGATTGGGTTGATGACCTTTACTATCGGGAATGATCCCGTGAACTTTGGCCCCAATTTCTTGCTAGGGAGTCTTAACCTCAGATATTTGGTGGAGAGATAGACCTTCTCCCCCAACTGGAATGGTCTTTTTAAGTTGACACTAGCTAGCTCTCGCCACCCCAGTTTATCCCTTTTATTTCTTTGTCGGTAAATAGAAATTCAACACAAAAATAATTTGTCACTAAAGCGGCTGCCTGCGAAGGCCCCTGGATTGGGGCTGAAAGGCAAAAGTGGAAGCAGTATGCTCCATCCCATATTTCGGTGAACCAGGTTGCCCGGATAGACCAGACTCACTTGGGGGGGGGGGGGGCAGGGACACACGCCCACACAAACACTTGTTGCCACAATGGTGGCGTGTGTATCTCACTTTCATAATTCCTCCACTGGTTAAAGAGGAACCAAGAGCTGTGTGGGGAAGCGTCTTTTTCTATACAAGATCCTGTTAAATTGCTAGTGATAGAAAAGAAAACCAGCCCACGACTTACAACACTTTGTTTAGTGACCGTTCAAAGTTACAATGGCACTGAAAAATGTGACTTACAACCAGTTTTCACACAATCATTGTGGCATCTCCATGGCCACGCGATCAACATTCAAACGCTTGGTAAGTGGCATTATTTATGACAGTTGCGGTGTCCCGGGTCATGCGATCATATTTTGTGACCTTCTAACAAACGAAGTCAATGGGGAAGCTAGATTCACTTAACAACCATGCTACTAACTTAACAACTGCAATGATTCACTTAACAACGGTGGTAAGAAAGTTCTTAAAATTTACTTAATAAATGTCTCACTTAAGAGCAGAAATTTTGGGCTGAATTGTGGCCGTCAGTTGAGGACCACCTGAGGTGAATAGTTTATTTTCATAGTTTATTTTAAGAGTTTTCATATTGGTAATCAATATGATGCAGTGGTTAAGGTACTGGACTAGGAGATGAGAGATCAAAATTCTATCTTCCTCTGTAGAAATCCACTGGCTCCCTTTAGGCCGGTCCCTTCATCCAACCAACCTCACTCGTTTTTCTTGTCGGCATTAAATGAAGGATTATTCCCATATATGTCACTCTGAGCTCTTGGAGAAAAGTAAGAATATAAATCTATCAAATAATATCAGTCTGCTGCAGCAAACACTGGCAATAAATCTAATCACACCTTAAAAATTAAACTCTTACGTTGGCTTTGAAACTGTCACCTCAGCATAACTTGAAAGGCAAAGGAGACGCTGTAGTATAAGATACAACTCGCCACAATTCATCCACATTGGGTGTGGGATGGGACCACAATTAACCATTACGTTCAAACTGGACAATTAAGAGAGCACAATGAGTGTTTGAGAAAACAACGTATTGGAAATCAGTATATTCTCTGATAAAACATGATCCACAAACATCTTTTTAACCAACAAAAATGGTACTCATTAAATTTGTACCTTCTCATCTCTAAAAATGGATGGTGTCGTTTCTCTAAATAAAGAATTAAAAAGCCAACAAGAGAAAAAAAAACATACAAACAAAAAAAATTTGTGGAGATGAGATTGCTCTGCTTTGTATTATTTTTGACCCTCATTGCAATAACAGGGCATCAGTCAATGGGGCCATATCCTTCTAGTCTTTTCTACTGGGCTTTCTAGCATAAATGCTCCTGGGCATGGTTGTTGTTTCTTTGCCTGCAGTGAGAATATGTCAAATGATACCAAAACACTATTTTAAGTTACTTAAAAACGCAATCTGCTCTTCTATAAACCTCACTGGCTTTTCTCTCGGATCTGGCTTCTGAAACATGACATTATCTGCAGTTTGGTGATAAAAGCTCTCGTTTAAATTTCCCCTTGTCTGGAAATATTTAAGGCAATGCCACAGCTCTGTTTCCTCATACCATCCACCACAGTTATGTAAACACTGCATACAGAACATTTTTGATAAAGCCAACATTGGCCTAAAGGAACTGTGCATTTAAATAGAAGGTGTCTACCATGATATATATATATGGAGGCTTTAGAGAAAAGACAGTATATATACTGTCTTCTAGCCATGAATAAAAATGCTGTCGTGCTTTCAAAGAGCCTGCTCAGATAACCATATAAAGAAAAACGATCTTTTCTCTAAAGCCTCCATGGTCAATAAAAACATCTCAAAGTTCCTTATAAAATGACAATAAAACTCCCAAGTTGGCAATCTCCAAATGCACAACATTTGAAGACCAACAAAAATGATTAGAGGGCTGGAGTTAAAATATACAAACAATAGTTACAGGAATTGGATAGGTCTCTAATGAAAAGGACCAGAGGGTGACATGATAGCAGTGTCCCAATATTTGAGGGCCTCCTACAAAGACGAGAAGGTCAAGCTATTTTCCAAAGCACCAAAATGCACAAGAAACAATAGATGGAAGGGAAGTGGAAGAGAATAGAATAAACAGAGTTGGAAGGGACTTTGGAGGTCCCCTAGTCCAACCCCCTGCTCAGGTAGGAAATCTAGTGCCATTTCAGACAAATGGTTGTCCAATCTCTTCTTAGAAACTTCCAGTGTTGGAGCATCCACAACTTCTGGAGGCAAGTTGTTCCACTGATTGATTATTCTAACTCTCAGGAAATTTCTCCTTAGTTCTAGGTTGCTTCTCTCCTTGATTAGTTTCCACCCCATTGCTTCTTGTCCTTCCTTCAGGTACTCTGGAGAATAGGCTGACTCCCTCTTCTCTGTGGAAGCCCCTGAGCTATTGGAACACTGCTATCATGTCACCCCTGGTTCTTCTTTTCATTAAACAGATTTCATAGATGTGACTGTGCCCAATGTTATGACCTTTATGGAAGTGGTCGTTGAGAAAATGGCATGGTTGTTAAGCCAAGGCTTAGGTTATTTAAATGGATCCATGATATCCGATGAGTGTTTTTTTTCCAGAAAACAGAAGTCAACTCCGGAAATCAGCAAAAAACACTGAAGAGCAATCACATGGCTGGGGACGGCTGTAAATGCAAGCTGGTTGCCAAGTGCAAACACAAACATATGTGACCCTGTATGTATATGTGTGCGTGCCGCCCTCAGAACTTTAAAATAGAGTTATAAGTACCTTTTTGGGGATCCACTGCACTTTGAATGGACACTAAGCAGCAAGTCATTAAGCAAGGACCATTTACATTGTAGGCATTACTGTGGCATTCAAAAGCATTACTGTGCCCCTGACTTTGCAGGAAACCAAGCCAGCATAAAGCCAGTTTTGCCTTTATGGACCTACCAAGATGCAATGCTAAACAGAGACCTTGGTTCTAAACAAGCTTCTCTCCTTGGAACAATATGGTAGAATGAGAGGCAACGATGCAAGTTAAAATATGGAAGTTTTGTGCCAGGAACATCATGCAGATTAAGAAATGAATTTGCGCTGGTTATAGGAAATCCTTTGATTCCAATATTTGGGATTTCACTGGCTGGTTTCCTCATTTAACCACCTCCAGTGCATAAACTCTACAGAAGCAACCTATATTTCCCCCCTATATTTTCACTTTCCTTTTTCACTTTAAGGTGATCTTAAATAAGTGAGGAATGAAGATGGACCAACCATTCCCCCTAACAGAAGATTTTGGAATTTTGGAAGGATTTTGGAAGACCCTCTTAAGTTAGAAATACCAGGTGAGATGCTCAAGCTTTGATGCTGTGCAAATTCCCAGCAAAATCCAGCAGGTTAAAGGTGATGATGATCTGTGGCACAGAACAATGGCCTACATACATGGCCAGGAGGAAAAGATACTTTCTGATTTGCCCAGCTGTTTCACTTGAGTTCCCAGGCCAGGACACTGATCTGTGGGTTGTGATGGAATCTCTGTAATTACCTGCTTAGTTCTACCAACAGAGGAATCCAATCTGAGTTTGTGGAGCAAATTTCTTAGAAGACTTGGAATAATGGTATTTTTGGGGTGGTAATACAGGACCTACGTAGACTAACAGAATAATAGAGTTGGAAGGGACCTTAGAGATCTTCTAGATCTAGACCATACTATAGCAATAGCACTTAGATTTATATGCTGCTTTATAGTGCTTTACAGCCCTCTCAGAGCGGTTTTACAGAGTCAGCCTATTGCCCTCAACAATCTGGGTCCTCATTTTACCCAACTTGGAAGGATGGAAGGCTGAGTCAACCTTGAACCTGGTGGGCTTCGATCTGCCAAATCACAGTAGGAGTAGCTTGCAGTACTGCACTCTAACCACTGCGCCACCATGGCCTACAAAGCTCTGAAAAACTCCTGTAGAAATCCAACTTGCTACACTTTTACTACAGAAATTGGTTCCGTTCCTATGCCACGTGGTGTCTTTATGTGTCCATGCCAATTCCTGACGTCCCTAAAAAGGGGCAGAAAACCACAAGCAAATATACTAGGAAGGATTTCTCCTCACCAAAGTGGCCAGGCTTGATGACTTCTGATAAAAATATAACACCATCCATAAACAAAACTAATCACAATAGCAATGTGCTTGCTAATATCTTAATTAACTAATATTAATAACTGAATTAGACTTCCTGATTTTTTTACTGATGAATGAAAGTGTATCTGCAATCACTGTCTTAGTTATTTAATTTTCTTCTGGAAGTTACAGAGGGACAGGATCAGGCCTTGTAGGAGTGGCAGAATCTGGGGGCGGAGTTAAAAGAGCCTAGAATCCCTACATAGCCACAAGCAGCCTAAGTCTTACCCTCCTAGAATTCCCTGGACCCTTATCTAACTCTAAGCAGGCTGCAAACCATTCGCAGAGAAGATTCCTGTGCCTAGGCTGTTTAGCAATAAATCAGTTTAATTGCACCTTCATGTGCAGACCTGATCTTTCTTACCTGACCCAACCCCAATAATTCACTGTCATAAGACAACTCCAACCATATCATGTAGCCCACGGATCTATCACTGAGCTCTCTCTCAAACAGCAAACTCTTTGGTTTTCTGCCTCTTGTGCAGAAGAAGTGCTAGGTGCTAATGAAGTTTTTTTTTATTCCTTTATGCTAGATAGGGGACAAAAAGGCCATGAATGTGAAAGAAGAAGAAAAAACAGTTCCCTAATTTCACATTTTTCTCCCTGCATAAGAGGCTTGCAGGTGTGTGGTGTGATGTAATTCTCTCCATACATTATAGATGAGGACCAATAAGTTTATCCTATTTTTAGAGCTTGAAAACTCTAAAGAGCTATCAAAGTCTCATTTCCCATTCATTTCCCCAGGCTGCCTTTTCTCACTCTCCCAGGTAGGCAAATGCCCAGAGATTGGTGGCTCAAATTAGGATAAGGAATTCAGTCCCCTGGTGCAGTTTCTTGCTTTTTAGGATTGGCCATGAAGGCACAGCATCTGCCAAAATAGAAGAATGCAATCAAGTTCAGACTGGCTTTCATTAATTTAAGCTCTCAGATATTCCATATTTAGCATGTCCAACTGGTATGGCCAAATTGTGGGTAGTGAGACTTTAATCCAAATCTCATTGGAATTTTACTTGTTGAAATTCTGCCATTTTTTGTCACAATGCGTATTAAAAAAGAGATTAAGCTTTGATTGCATGGCTGGGCCACCATCTTTATTTTTCTGACACATCCTTGGTTCAAGTCCTTGTTCTCTATGCAATGGAAAAACTCAACCAATCAGAACTTTTATGTGAAATAAAAGAGATGTGTGCATGATGATGTGGTCTACAACCCTTTTCCTATTTGAACATTATTAACTGCATAAGGAAAACGCCATGCTGGGAGCCAGTTTGGTGTAGTGGTTAAGGCATCAGGTTAAGGTGAATTCTAGTCCCACCTGAGGCATGAAAGCTGGCTGTGTGATTTCACTCCAATCACCAGGAGACAGTGAGTTCTAGTCCCACCTTAGGCATGAAAGCTTAGGCATGAAACTTTGGGCCAGTCACACACTCTCAGCCCAACCTACCTCACAGGGTTGTTTTTGTGAGGAAAAATGGAGGAGGAGTATTATGTATGCCACCTTGAGTTACTTATAAAGTAATAAAAGTGAAATAAAAAATCTAATGAAAAAATCAATTTCTTAAGTTAAAAGGAAAATGCTCAACAGTGATAAAATTACACATATGATGTAATTGACGATTTTGATGTGATTTCTTTGAACTAGTGTAATTACACACATCCCGTACCATATTACAAATACGGAAATTTGAAATACGTATGTTTTTGTTCTCTTTTTAGACCTTAGAAACAAAAATCAGGCTTGGGGTTGCATGTTCCCTTTCAGCCCTTTCATATTGAGCAAGAAATCTGTTAATTCATAGTAAGAAGAGAGTGAAAAAAGAAATGGGTGTAAACCACTGCGGTTATATGATGGAGACTGGATTATGGAGACTAGACGTGCAATGGGGAACTAGCACTTTCATTGCACTTCATTTTGATGCACAAGAATTTTTTTTTAAATCTAGCCAGGATGTATCTGTGAGAATTCTGCTGATCTAGATCAAGCCAAGCTATGTAAAGTCAGAAGGTCTCCAATTTATTGCAGTTTTAACTTGGAGAACCTGATGGCTCTCAACCAGTTCTGAGTTCACTTTTGTTTTGATTTGGAGAGCTTGACAGTTCCCTACCAGTTCTGAGCTTACTTCTGTTGGGTTCCAACCCCAACCCTGGAAGGTTGGACACTTCTAAACAAAATACTACAGACATGTATTCTTGTGACAGAACGTCTATGGTGCTTACAATCTTATAAATAAAGATGATGCAAGGAGCTTTGCAGCAAGTTGTCTACACAAGTAAGGTTTTTCTTTAATTAAAAAAAAAACCAAAGCTATGGGAGACTAAAGTCTAGCTAGCAGACCCCAGAATACTGAAGAACCTGCCATAGTAGTTTTTTTGTGGAGGAGGTTCAAAGAGGAGAGGAAATTGACTCCCACACACATATCCAGTGAATAGAAAATGCTTCTTCCTGCAAAGCTACACCCTGGAATTTGGAAACAGAATAGCAGCAAGCTTTTTAATATAGGTATAACACTGCTGTAGAGAGGCATGGAGATAGCCTTGAGAGAGTTATTCAGATACTGTTGCAGAAGCAACATTGCTTAAGTCTTGGAATGCTAGCAGTCTACTTAGAACAGGGGTGGGCAAACTACGGCCCGAGGGCCACATCCGGCCCGTTGGTCTTTTTAATCCGGCCCGCCGAAGAATTAAGGTTTGATGTGAATGATTGAATGATTGCATTCATTTGATTTTGACTTGTAATGACAGGCATTTCGACACCAGGTAGCGGCCCGTCTGTCAAATTTTAAAAGTCAATGAGGCCCCCGAGCCAAAAAGTTTGCCCACCCCTGACTTAGAAGAACTTCAGAAGAACTCAGTATCGAAGGGGCTGCCACAAAGAAGAGGTCAACCTGTTCTCCAAACTCCAAAGCATCTGAAGGCAGGACAAGAAGCAATGGATGGAAACTAATCAAGGAGAGAAGTAACCTAGAACTAGCTGAAGAAGCTTCTTGGATGAGAAATGAAACATCTTCAAAGAAAACCCAGAAAATCTAGTTGCCTCTTGAAAAAGCACCAGTCATGACCTGGATGACTGAGAATCTCCATAGACATCAACCTAGAACTAAGGAGAAATTTCTTGACAGTGAGGACAATTAATCAGTGGAATAGGTTGTCTTTAGGAAGTTGTGGGTGTTCCATCACCGGCATTTTTAATGAAAAGATTGGGCAGCCACTTCTCTGAAATGTTAAAGAGTTTCCTGCTTGAGCAGGAGTTGGACTAGAAGACCTCCACGGTCCCTTCTAACTCTATTATTCAACAAATTGTCCTCCTTTCCGGACATCAACGAAGTAAGGTGTACTCTTTTCATCCTTCTCTGCTGAATAAATATGCAAAGAGAGAAAAAGAAAGAGGAAGGAGAGACAGCTGCTGAACGGCTGCTGTCTACTTCTCTTATGGACTTGAACCTGCCCTTAATCCACAAAAATAACGAAGAATGAATATTATGGAAAGGGAGGGTTCTTCTCCCCCATCCACATTTGCTTACCTGTTTTCTGGATCTAACATAGCCATGTTCCGCGTCACATAGCACATTTTGAGTGGGATGGTCTTTTTGTCTCGGTGGATGTTGAGAGACAGAGGCAACAGGGGATCGATGGTTGGGTTGCCCAAACGGGGGGACTCAGGAGGAGGAGTTTCCCATCCAATTTCAGAAATGGGAGAACCTTTCTTCACATAGGGGGTGGCTTCTCGCATGTATTTCACTGAAAAGAAGAAGAAAACAAATGAGAGCATAAGTATCGGAGAAGAGCGGGCAAAGCTGGAGGCAGAATTAAATGTGTCATTAGTTTAGAGTCCTTACATTCTCACAAACAGTCCAAGTTCAACTGGTCCTGAATTCCATTGACTCTTATCTGGTGCCAATTTAATGCTGAACTTTAGTTGACTAGATTCTTGTGCATATGCTTGAATAAATCTTCTATGCTGCAATACAACAGACGATCCTGATTTTTTGCACCTGACATTAGGAGAACGAGTGGTCGAACGCCGCAATGGTCATAAAACCAGTCAGTCACGTGACCTACCCAATTTTATGATTATTATTTTTTTGCAGCAGTCATTAAATGAACCCATTATTCACTATGGCGAGGTTTTCCCCAAAAAACCAGAAATGCTCTTTGCTGCAAAACTGATGTAAAACATAGTCACATGACTGCAGGATACTGCAAAGGGGCATAAATGTGACTGTGTTGCCAAGCAACCAAAGCAAGGTCACCCCTGTCACAACTCCATTTAGAAATAATTAGAAATACTGTATATTTACATGGATATGTTTTGACTCCTCCACCTGAAGTCTAAAATATACTTTCAATTCCAAGCCCAAGTTGTTTCTATTAATTTGTTTTTATACCTACCTCTTTTCTAAGGTGGAGGATTTTTTTAAATTATATTTTTATTTATTTACTCCAATTATGTTTTTTCTCTGATACACCAAAACATCTTATTAAGGGATAACCTTTAAGTTTATCCATGGAACAGCCATCGCACGATCTTCCCTGATATAGTTAGGTCAGCCAGGTTGTTAAAATAGTGTTTTTAATTGCACTCACGCAGCATAAACCACAGCAAACAATTATCTATCTTAGCCTTCCCAATACAATATCCATCAAATGAGCAGGATCAGAAGGCCTATCACCAAGAATTGAGGCCTAGACAAAAAGAATTGAGGTCCAGAATCACTGAAGTCAACAAGTCAGAAAAAGCCCGACATAGTCTTTACTCAATGTTAACTAAAGTAGTGATAACACAAATGACTTGATAGAAGTGCCTGGTAACAACTGCCCACAAGTTGATCCCAACCTCTTTTCCAGGTTCTAATTGTCGTCATATATACTAGTAAATAAATCTGGCTTCTTTTGTTTCCTGTTAGGAATGTAAGTCACATAACAGTTATTTGGGTTAGAAATATATAAACTTGGATAGACATTTTAATACTATGCCTTTAAGAGAATACTAAATCTGTAATTGGGTGTGGTTCCGCAAATGGCCATAAGATGGAGCCAGAAACCTGGGTTGTTTAGTCTCAGAAGAAGTCTCAGTGAGTCTCTGTTTCCTTCTGTTGGAGAGAGTTGCCGTTCCTCCTAATGATTGTTACTGATCATTGATGTAAGTCTGTTACTGAACTGTTTTTGATACTGGACTTTGATATTTGGATTATCCCTGAAATGAACACTGACTGCCTTACCTGTGAATGACTTGGACTGCTTATCTTGGACTGTGTTTAAACGTTTATTGAAAAGTAAAAACCTACATTTACTGTACAGTGTATCTGCGTGCTGTGTGTGTGTTACTCTTCACTTTTCTCACTACGTCTCCCTGTATGCGCACATTCTCCTAACGGGGAATTACCTCAACATCTCCAACAAATTTGAAATTGAGGTCAGGTAATTAAGATTCCAACATTTATTTCTCATTCCTCCAAAAATCCACATGAATTAATCTTCTGCCATATGCTAACAGCTTCATTATTTTCCTGTTAGCTGGGCCAACAGCCAGCCAGTGCTGTGTTCTAAAGAGCATTTCATACGCACCCATTTTCACCAAAGCTTGAACACTTCCACAATTAAGCCTTTGTTATATATTCACAGATGACATTTCGAAGGGGCGGGGGAAGAAAAACACACTTCTTGCAAGTCAGATGGACAAATGCGATCAAATCTATCAAGCTTCTTCTTTTTTTTCTAATTAGGTTCTTAAACATCTTGTGACTCATTCAGGTTAGCCATAATAACAACATCACTAAAAAGAAAAAGAAAAAAAGAAAAGAAAGGGGAGGTGGGAAAAGACTTCAAACTGCAAGGGTTTCACTTAGGGGAGCAAAAATGGGAAGTATCAGCTTATGGAACGATGAAGGCAAAAGGAAAGAAACGTTGAAAGAAAGAAGAAAAGAAATTTGATCAAAGGCAGAGACTTTCTGGCTTTGCAAGAGAAGGGGAAAAAAGATAACCCACTTCGTCACCAGCTTTAGGAAGTGACTGATATTAAAATTCACACACGTACATTGACTCAAATATGACTCTATTAGTGAAAGTTTGGTTTAATTAAAAAAAAACCTTCACATATCATAACCACAGAATTTTCGCATAGACCTCAACTTACAATCCTTCATTGCAAAGTTGCAACTGCACTAAAAAAAGGTGACAGGATCGATTTTCACACGTACGACCACTGCAGCATTTCCATGGTCATGTGATCAGAATTCAGGCAACCGGCATATATTAATGACAGTTGCAGTATCCTGGGATCATGTGTAACCTTCCCAGCTGGCTTCCAACAAGCAAAAACAATGGAGGAAGCCAGATTTGCTTAAATCACTTAAATCATGATTCCCTTAACAACTGAAGTGATTTGCTTAACAATAGTAGCAAAAAATATATATCATAAAATGGGGCAAAACTCAGAAATGTTGGACTGAATTGTGGTTCTGAGTTGAGGACTACCTGTATTCCTTCTTATTGGGAAACAGCTTCAAACTCTTTCCTATTTCTACACATACACACAAAGGAAGAGAGGGACAATAATGGTTTCCAGCTATTGCGGTTTAAACTGCATCCAGATGTCTTTTGTTTTGTTAAAAGGACATTATGAGAAACCAGAGAATTGGAGGATGTCAACATAGAGATGAAAATGTACACCTTGAGTGCAAAATTTCTTATTTGGAATGGGACACCCCAGAGTAAAGGCCAGCTTTCCCAGTTGGGTGCTATCCAGTTTGAGATTGGAACTCTTGTAGTTCCCATCTTTGAGGAAATGTGTAAGCACCAAAGTAATAAAAGAATTAATCATCATGAGTAATAATGGCAGAGTACACAATTTATTTCGGAGTTATTTTCATAACTGAAAATAAGGTTAAGGTGGAATACCTGTATTTAGATTCTTCTTCCCATTTTATCTACATAATAATCTTGTAGGGTAAGGGTGGGGAACTATTATAGCCCTTTTATGGCTCTTGAACCTCAACTCCCAGAATTCCTGAGCCAGTCAGCTCAGGAATTCTGGGAGTTGAAGTCCACAAATTGTAAAAGGGACAAGGTTCCCCACCTCTGTTGTACGGCATCATCCGATTTGAGAGACAGAGATTCGCTCAAATCATTTAATCCAGTGATCCCCAACCTTTTTGACGCCGCGGCCCGGTACCGGCATCAGCTGGCCGCCACGGCCTGGTACCGGCATCAGCTGGGCGCCGCCATCTTTTTTTGATGAAAAAGTGCTTCCGGTGAGCTTTCTACCCGGAAAAGCTCACCGGAAGCACTTTTTCATGAAAAAAAGATGGCGGTGCCCAGCAAGCCGCGGACCGGTAGGAGTTGTTCCGCGGACCGGTACCGGTCCGCGGACCGGTGGTTGGGGACCCCTGATTTAATCAACATCAATAGCAAAAAAAAATCGCCTCTGGACTTTGATGAAAACCAAAATCTGCACTACAACAGCAACAATCTCTCTCCACTCTCTCCCCCTCCCATTCTCACACTCCCCCCCTCTCCCTCTCCCTCACACACACTCACACACCCCGTTGACAAACTGCATTTCAGCCACAACATTTGAGAACTGATTTTAAAGCAGGAGGTTGGACAGCGCACGTGGGCTTAGGGTGACCCACCCTTTTTCTAAAAAAAATAATTCCCCATTGACATGCCACCTTCTATTCTTCATTTCCTCCCGTACAATGCTCATACTCATTTGTTGTTCAAAAATGGAATGTGCCACATCTAAATATTTGATTAATAGCCACCAGCACTATATTACTGATTCATCATTTGGCGGCAACTGAGTTTTGAGCTGGCAGGAACAGGAATTATTGTTGCCAGATACTCATCAGGAGAAGAAAGAGGAAACAACGGCAAATTTTAGAATTTCTGGCATCCTGGAATAGTAAGAGAATGTGTGTGTGTGTGTGTGTGTGTGAGAGAGAGAGAGAGAGGGAGAGAGATTAGAGAGGGAGAGAGATTAGAGAGGGAGAGAGAAAGAGGGAGGGAGGGAGAGAGAGAGATTGGAGAGGGAGGGAGGGGGGAGAGAGAGAGGGAGGGGGAGAAAGAGAGGGAAGGAGAGGGAGAGATGAGAGGAGGAGGGAGGGACAATGAGAATAAAAGGAAAGAGAGAGAGAAAGAGAATGAAGAGAAAGAGAAAAAAAGAGAGATAATAAAAAGAGAGAGAGAGAGAGACTCTCACTTTCAGAATTCAGTTCTGAGGAGACTGTTCCCCGAGCTGGCCTACCTCAAAGGGATCATAGAACTACTGTATAATCTCCAAGCCACAGGAAGTAATAGTTCCACTTTTATTTTGCACTGGTTTGACTTCTTCAGTCTTTGTCCAGTTCAGGGTACCGCATTTTGGTACCTCCTTGTTACAAAATGAGGCCTCTGGTTCTATCGTCCTTGTTGCAAAAGGCAACGAGGTGGAAAGAACCATACCTTTTATAAGAGAGAAGATGGAAGGGGAACTTCGGCCTTGCCAAGAGAAGACTGAGGGTGATATAACAGCACTCTTCAAAATCAGAAACGATGTCCTCCAGAAGATCAAGACTTTTGCCTCGCTATTCTAAACGTGTTGAGGCACAAAGCAAGGGGCTTAATTACAGGAAGGCTGGTTCGTTCCGACTGTGTCTCAGGAAAACAGCTTCCTAACAATAACAGCGGTGCAACAGTGGAGCCAATTAACCAAAGGTGATGGGATCTCTCAGAGGTGTTGAAATGGTGTCTAGACAGCC